CCACCACCTGCACCACCACCACCACCTCCACAACTACCTCCACCACCACCTCCACCACCACCTCCACCACAACCATCTCCTCCCCCTGCACCACCAGCTGTACCACCTCCACTACCACCTCCATAACCTCCACCACTTCCACTACGACCATCTCCAGCACCATGATCACCTCCACCACCACATCCACCACCAGCAGCTCCATCACCTACCACCTCCACCACCTGCAATACATCACCAGCACCACCCTCCATCACTATCATTGCCACTGCCACCACCACCACTGGCACTACTACTTCTGCTATTCTGCAATGCTTTGAGAGGCTGCAAATTTAATGGTTATTGGGATATATTTCTTGCTCCTCATTTTATAGCCTATCTTCCAGAAGGACCAACAATTCCAGGTCTCATCTGAGAGGTATGCTAATAAATGTGGACTTGGGTACTCAGAACCTACTGTATGAATACTTGATAATCAGTCTAATTCCCCCCTACCTCAGTATACTGCTGAGTGACAAGCTCTGGAGTTGGCCCCAAGAACACATAAAAGTCCAGAATTCCTCCTATGGTGCGATATGTCAAGGCAGGCAGGGGCTGGAATGTCACATCTGAAAATATAGAAAAATACCAATCAAGCGGGAACCTTTAAGGTGAGGAATTACCCCTGAAATTCTTACCTTTTCCTTCTTCCTATACCTCTTTATTAGGGAGTATTAAGAGAAAGTATTTTTACTATACCTACAAAGAATTGAAGAAGTTAAGTGAAAGTCTACAGGGTGCTACCCCTGGACTTTTTTGCCATTGGGTTTATTGTTTTTTACAATATGTTCTGTCATTCTGTTCTTTTAAAATTATTACTATAACTTTCATTTTAGACTAGTTTAAGACTTAGAAGAAGTGGCAAAAATGGTACTAGAGTTCCATTGTACATTTCAACCTGCTTCCCTCAATGACAACATCTTATATAACCATTGTACGTTGTCAAAACCAGGAAACTGACATTCATATAAAACTCTTAAGTCAGGGATAGATCTGACTCTGATTCGACCAGTTTTTATATGCATGCTCCCCACCACCACCTCCTGATTTTCCATCCCCTTTCCAATACACCGTATAAATTTTCTTCACACCTTCATACCCCCAGAATGAGCACTCTTACCCATAGCTTCACCACTAATTCAAATTAAAAAGATGGCTCCCATTGGCTGACCTCCAGGATATTTGGGACTCACCTGGTCTTTCTATCCCTTCTTACATCCCTTCTTACATGTTGCCAAATATAGTTCACAAAAATAAGGGGAGTTGCTGGCATCATCTTACCCATGGCATTGCTGTTTAGCAGGAGCACCCCATGGGCACTTCCATCCTCCTCCAGTGCCATGTAGTAGGGGTGGACTCCGTAGGAATTCTTCTTATACTGGGAGAATTGTAGGAGAAAAGTGGTAAGAGGTTAAAAGACATCTTTAAAGAAACTCCACAAAAAATGATTGACAAGGTATGTCCCGTCTTCTCTGTGCAATAAACTAAATACACAAAAAACAAAGGAGACTGAGCATTGGCACACTCATCTAAATGCGGAAATGTGACCATCTAAGGTGAGTCTGGGAAGACAAAGAATGGAGTGTACATAGTGCATAAAGAGAAGTAGACACAGATCCCAGATGCTCTGTCCTTACCCCTGGGGGCTGGTCTCTGGAAAACATCCCCCATGTGTGCCAGTTCAAGTCTCTCCGAAAGGCTGTGTGCTCTGTTTCCCCAAAGCCATAGATGTACTGGGAGGGAAGGCGAGTGGAGATGCGGATGAACATGTCGTTGAAGGTAAAGCCAAGGAGCTGAGAGTCCCAACTGCAACACAAAAGGGTGTATTCGGAAAAGAAATGGGCTATCCTGTTGGCTTCAAGCAGCTGACTTTTCAAGGACAGCAGGACTCTTGATTCCCTCTCCCACCCAGAGCCCTGTTAATCCTCCAGACAAACACAAAGTCTATTTGATTAAAATAATCTTAGTGCACCTGCTACCAGCCCAGGAGTGAGCCTTCATTCTTTTGGTTTCCTCTCTCACTGCTTCCCTTCAGTTCTTTTTCCCGGTCACCAGATCTAATCATTTTTCACATCTCGGGTGCTACCACTCCACACCAGCCCAGGGTTCCACTCTTGCTCCTCTATACAGTCCCTTTGCCACTTAACATCCAGAGCAATCCAACTACAATGTGCTCCAACCACAATGGGCATCCCCCCCCACCGCCATATGGCAGGTGTTGCTCCTGTTTCATGGCCTGTGCACTTCTTATTCCATCTGTCTGGAATGTTCTTCCCCTTCCCCCAGATCTCCACGTGGGTGGATCCTTCTCATCCAAGTCCTATTTCAAATGTCACCTTCTCTGAGACACCTATTCTGACCACAGTATCAAAAGCAGTAAACTCCCCATAACTCTTGATTACCCTGTTCTTTTTCCTACAGATCAGTTGTCACTACTTAAACTTCCTTATTTATATTTTAACTTAAGTTATCTTTGTTATTGATCATTAATTTTTGCCATGAGAAGAGAGACCTCATCTTCTAGAACCCCCTAATATAGAGATAATAAATACTAACCACCCCATAAACATCAGTACACATAAGTGCCTCAGTAGTTATTGCCAAGGGACTAAAGATTTCTCGTAAGAACAGGCCCCAAGGGAATAACGTATTCATAAATCTGGAAATGTATAGTGTGATGCTTTGAGCCCGGATATCTCCAAGGACAACGGACCTGGCAGTGCAGGGAACCATCAATTCCAAATCAGACTAGCCACCTACATCACAGTGCCTGTACTCTTCCGGCGAATTTCAATCCCAAACGGATTCTTCTTAATGAGGACATCGTAGAGTTGACTCTCAGAGGTGCTGGATGGAACTGTGGGTATGTTGAGAGGGATCGGGACTTCATACCGATTATTGTTAGGATCATAAATCTAGGGTGAGTGGGAAGTAAATTAGGAAAATACAGTATTCGAGAAACCTATATCCTTAGCAGCAACTTGGTATCTTTGACATGGAGGTTGAATGCTGTCTTTCTTTGTCTTCATTAAGCTCATGATACCAGGGATTTAGTTACCATATCAAAGAACAATGTTAGACTTGACATTTTGATCTGAGTCTGTCATATCTCATTTTTAAGGCCCCTATTACAGTTAACACATCCACTTTGACATTGGTGATATCTTGGAAAATCAGTATGGTATCAGTTTGGTACATATGAATATATTATTTATTACTTTATCTGTGGGTGTATGTGAATATGTGAAAGCTTCTCTGAATTGAAAAAAAGTCAAAAAACATGAACTCTATTTGATTAAAATAATCATAGATGTCCTTGCTACAAATGGCATCTAAATTGATTCACTGAGTTCGTTCTCTACTCCTGCCTGATACTGTACTATAGACACTAGAGACACTAAATCAGATAAGACACGATCTCTGTTTTTAAGAAATTCACACGCTAACGGGAGGTAAAAGAGGTACCCACAATACCTGGGTGATGATAACCTCATATACAACTACGTGGGAGTGTTGTGAGATTATAGAGAAGAAAATGCCCAACACAGTTTACTGGAAGACCGAGATGTCATGGGCAAAATACAGGCTGTGTGTTAAAACCTTTGCAGCTGTTAAGCAAGGAGATGAAGTGAGTCCTGGTAGAGAAATAAATGCAAAGGCCCAGAGTATTAAAGCCAGGTCAGAAAGAGGCAAATGCTAGGGGGATATCTTGAAGCCGGAAATGCAAGCAAGTTCATTTAGTTCAAACTCACTAGGTGCCTACCACAGGCCAGTGCCATGGTGAGGATAGGAATATCAAAGAGCATCTTCCCTGCATTAGAAGATGTAAAAGGGCTCAGTCTAGGTTGATAGCAGTTCGTGATGAACCTTTTGGGCAATGCCCAATGTCTTTCATTTACTCTCTCAAGAAACATCTGAGTGCTGTCTACCAGGCTCTGTGTCAGATTTCAGAAACACAAATATGAATGGAGAAATTCCTGTCTTTGAGAAACTTACAAGTTAGTAGAGAAATAGACATAAGAACAGCCTGTCACTAATCCTTCGATGTAATTAAAACATAGGAAAGAAAGAGATCACTACACTCTCGTGGCTATTTCTCAGCTATCCTAAGTTCAGCATCCTAAACTGAACCCATCATCTTATTTTGCCCAAGCCCAAACCTTCCAATGTTTCCATTCCAGGTAACGTCACCACCATCCATATAGAGACACACGACAGAAACATGGCAATCATCCTTGATGCCTCCCTCTCTCTCATCGCCTACTTGCAGTCATCACCAGATCCTATGATCCTACCTTCTCAATTCTCCCACCATCCTCCTCCTTTCTTATACCTGGTCTACACTTGGTTGCCCACATGGACAACCTAACTGGTAGCCTCCTAGCTGGCCTCTCCTTTTTCACTCTTGTCTTCCCAACCATTTTCTTTAGGGTAGACACAGTGATCTTTTCAAAATGCACATCAGAAGGGACAGCACCAGTCGATCAATGGTCTCTCAATGCCCCCAGGATAATGATCTAGTATACTGCGGCATGGTTAGCTCAGAGGAGCGCACTTATTTTAAGGTTCTGTGACCTCGACTAGCAAAAAGTAATGGAACTGCCAAGTGCCCAGTGGGCACTTGATACATATGTGTACTGCAAACAAACACATACCTTAAACTGCAGCATGTCATTCTTATGGTAGGTCACACGCAGACGGAGGGAGGTCACAGGTACTGAGGGCAGAGCAGAGGCATAGACAGAAGACTTTAAGGAGATGGTCGCAGTGGCTCCCTGTGAGTCGCACTGAACATTGTCGACAGAGTACAGATCATTGACGAAATAACAAAACGGGACTCCAGGAGAAGTGGGTACCTGGAAAGGAAAGCTAAGGTCAGCTCAGCATGCGGTCCTAGAATGATCAAATATAAAGGGGCTAGAAAAGGCCATTTACAGGGAGATAAATCCAGGCCATCACTCGCTTCCTTATACATTCATTGGTAGTGACATAAGTTTAAATTTCTGGTCTCCTTGCAAAGTATTTGTAAAAAAAAAAAAAAAAAAAGTCCCACTCCTGTCCCTATCTATTGTTTATATCCAGATACAAACTCAGGTTCCTTTGGAAGTCCTGCCTTTCTATGGGTTTTAGGTAGTGACACAGGTACTGGAGCTATGCTCATGAAACTGGTGGTTGAGTGGAGAGGGTTTCGAGGCACGCTAGCGTCGTCAGCACGGTTACCTCCCAGGCACAGCCACGGGCAGTACAGTTTTCTGCAGAAGCACCGCTCTCATCGGGGAAACAGTCTATTTTTTCTGCATCCCTTATCTTCAGGTCCCACTCCACCGTGTATGCTTCTCCCAGGATAAGATCAATTCCCGTGATAAGAGCAACCTGTAGGGATGGGCAAGTGACAAGGAAATTTATCCCCAGGACAAAGGCCTTGCAAGATCTGAAACCTCTTTTAGGAAAGGAAATAGAAACCAGAGTAGACTCTCAACAATCCAAAGTGACACCCCACTGGAGCTTCTAGGAAGAGAGCTACGTGGAGAGAGGGGAAGAGCGCAAATGTGCCAACTCTATCAGAATCTTGTACGCCACGTTTGAAGAGAATTAGGCCAAATAAAATCTTCTGTGATCACCCACTTTCTTTCTTTCCCTGACTCCCCTTCCTCTTCCTTATTTGTACAAGAAGGTCTTCTGTGTTTCCCCTTGTAGCATAACACACATGAGCTCACGGGGCCATCTGAAATCAAGCTTATGTTCTTGCCTTCCATTCCCTAGCCCATTGTCCTGCCTTGGTCTGGAGTGGTGGCAAGAACAGAGGAGTAAGAATCATGTGGCTTGGGTTCTCATCTTCATTCTGCTGGGGAAACTTAGCCAAATCATTTCAATTCTTTGGGTCTCAGTTTCATCAATAGCAAAAGTGGGGAGTTGGCAAAATCATTACATTTCCTTCCATTTCTAACATCCCAACCTCTTCATTTCTCCAAGACCAAAGCCTCAAAACCCAAAACCTTGCTTCTTTGAGTCCCACTAATTCAAATATTTAATATTTTCTATGTATTTTTATCTCTTCTTTAATTAGCAATTTCCATAGTGCAGGTCCTCATTTGCCCAGATTTACAAAATCACACTCTAGGGATAATCACCCCTTTTCCAGGCTCTTCTCAGTCTAAATTCACCTTAAACTTCCCTATTCTACAAATCTCATGCCCCAGAGCAATGCTTTCATAATGGCACAGCCTTGATTCAAGGATTCATAGGACACACTTTGAGAATCCAATCTTCTCACTTTGGCATTTAAGACCCTCCAAAACCTGACCACAAATTATTTGTCCAAACTGATCCCCTCCCTATTCTAGTTATAGAATACTCACAGACGAATGTCAGGCTAGTCTCAATCCTTAGATTGGCTTATTCTGATATCTCAATCTTGCATGCTTTAGCTAGACAAATGCTCTTTCTAGGAAAATGGTGCCCTTCTGTGGAATGCCCTGCTAGTTGCCTGCCTTATATAAAAGTTCCCTTCTGATTCACTATTTCAGCTTAGAATATTAAAGTTCATGATTAAGAACTAAATTTTTAATCCATGTAACATAGCTGTGGCCATTAATAGGCAAGTGCAAGTCCACTGGGAGTTGCTGGCCCAGAGTCTCCTTCTTGATTTAAGGGGCTGCCCCTTCTCTGCACCTTTTCCTTCCTGCCTCCTCTTTTATTCTTCAGTAATAGGGCCATAGCAACTGGTATTAAGCTGTCACTTCCAGTCAACCCTGACAACCTTGAGCCACTGAACCAATGCTAGCAACTGACACTTTCTAAACTTGTTATTGCATGAAGAAAAAAATCCCAATTTGTTCAAAGTCCCATTTTGCTCAGTTTCCTATCACTTGTAGCTGAATGAATCTCTATCTGATATACCCTCACTGAAAGCCCAGCTTGAACCCTGACTTCTCCAATGGCTTTGCTCAGCTAGGCCATTAGGCTTTGGACATTAAATTAGATATAATGTCAGTTAACACTTCCTCTGTGTTGCTTTGGACTGCCTGTCCCCTTCCTGGTAGTTTCCTGTGTATAAATTGTGTCTCCCCACCACCCAAATTCAAGCATTGACATTTCCTTTGCTCTTATATTAATTAATTTAACAAATATTAATTGAGTTTGTTTTCATATATGCACCTTTCAAATGGCTTTCCCTTTGCTGTACACATAACTAACCATATAATGCAGTTGTCCTTTGAACAACATGGGTTTGAACTGCATGGGTCCATTTACATGCATCTTTTTTTCAATAAATACAGTACAGAACTGCAAATGTTTTCTCTTCCTAAGATTCTCTTAATAACATTTTCTTTTCTCTAGCTTGTTTTATTGTAAGAATACAGTATAAAATTCTTATGATATATAAAATACGTGTTAATCGACAGTTTACCCGTAAGGCTTCTGGTCAGTGGTAGGCTATTAATAGTTAAGATTTGGGGAGTCAAAAGTTATTTATGGATTTTTGATGGCATAGGGGGGTCAGTGTCCCCCATGCTGTTCAAGGGTCAACTGTATTTTATTTCTAACTTTATAATGTAGGTATCCTCAACTTATGTTATAAGGCAAAATGGCCAATGCAATCAATACAGCATTATAGGAGAATGCCAGATTTACTTATTTTCTCCAAATTTGGAAGATCTCTCACAAACATGCTGACCCAGCAGCCCCCAGTCCCAGATCATCTGGGGGGCGATCTGGGGGGCCTGGAGTGAGGAGGATGGGGGAAAGGATTCCTCAAATGCTAAGATACCAGGGGAATAGATTACAACCTGCTCAGGAGCATCAGGTCTCATTACAACTGATTAAAAATGATTTTTTATCATTATCTAACCAAATAAGTGGCCATTAGCTAAGCTGAACAGATTTTTTGACTTGAAATATTTCTCTAAAATGTATGTGTTGGAGAGAAAGTCTATGTATCTGAACAGAGTAAAAAAAAAAAATGCACTTCAAAATTTTAATTAATAAGTATCCCATCTCCCACTTTGCCTTTCTAGCTTCAGTCAGCAGATTTCAGACTCACTTTCCCTCTAATCCTGTTCCCCACACTCCACACTTTGCTCTTCTGTCCCAGTCTCAATCCTCAGGTCCACTTATTCTGATATCTCAATCTTGCATGCTTTATCTAGACAAATGCTCTTTTGCTCTTTTGATTGATGGGCAAATGAGGGAATGAATAGATGAGAGAAATAGAAATAGATGAAAAGACCATTTTATCTTATTCTAGTTTCTCAGTAGCTCCCTGATCCATTCTAGCTCTGGCTTACCCCTTGCTTTTTTTTCTCTCCTAACCCTCTTAATTCCCCACCCCAGACCTCAGAGTGTGCCCTGGTCCTTCAGGAACCCATGCGACTTTGGCAAGAAGGAACACCGTAAGCTCTGAATTCTTGGTAAACTATCTCAACAAAATTAATTTTTACCTGTAAGTTAGAATCATAAGTGACATTAGGAGAAATTTGACTTGGGAGACCATTGTGTTTCACAATAACACTGGTAGGTTCCTGGGTCCCAAGAATTTTAATCTCTTTAAATACTAAATTATTGGGGTCTTTGTAAGTTGACTGCAAAATCTTCACATCCAAGTAGTTCTGCAAAACAATTAAACACAAAGGTCTGCTGATTGATTGTCAAGTCACTCAAATATTCTATCCTAGACCAGATACCCAAAACTGCTTTGAATGCCTCTTAGCTGTCTCTACTAACATGTGCTCAAGAAGTACCAACTTTTTTAATACTCTCCTGAGTGAAAAAGAGAGAAACACACACAGAGCAATTTTTTTAAACTGCATTTTAAAAGACTGGCTACTTTGATTTAACTATATCATTGCCTCTTTTTACTAACATGGATGATTCAATTATTGGGAGTTAAGTTATAAACTGAAATGTGCCCAAGTAAGCACTGGTGATCTATGGAAGTGCTGAATAACTATACTGTACACCTGAAACTAATATAACACTGCATGTTAATTAACTGGAATTTTAAATAAAAACAAATAATAATAAAAAATAAAGTTCTTTTATCTTCAAAAAAAGGAAATGTGCTCATCTACAGTCATAAAGGCATATGAAGCTATAAATGTAATTACACACATATACAAACACACATGAGCTAATTGTCAGAGAAAAGCCCACACCTAAGATTCATAAAAATGTGCTACTTACCTGGGTGGCAGAAAACTCACAAAAGAGATAAACTTGATTGACCACAGTATCTGAAAGTGTGAGAAAGGTGAGTCAGCCTCTGGCCTGCCCACCACAGAACAGATCACTCCTTGGCTATAATGAAAGTTCCATCTTGAGAATGACAAGATTGTAGACAGAGTCTCCAAGGCCAGTCCACTCTTTTCCCTTTTCCTTCCTACCTTACCCTTGAAAAGATTCCCTTCCAAGTGCTTTCAAGGCACATGCCTCAAGTGAATCTATCTCCTAAGCTTGAACCACAAGAGTTGTTAGTATATTGGAGCCAGGAAAATGTGCGAAGAAGCATGGCTGGATGTAGGCACACGAGAACACACTCTCACTCTGCCTTGCTGCCATGCTATGTGTTTCCTATCATCGACTTTTGTATTTTAGGCGAAGAGATCTACAGTGAATGGCAGGAACAGTCTTGAAAACATCTCTTTCAGATGCCTGTTGACAACAAAATGAGAGCCTGTCTATATTGCTTGTCTGATGGGAGCATTCTAAGAGGTAGAAACATGTTTTCCTTCCATCTGTGGTCCATCTACCACAAGCTGTGAACAGTGCAACCCAAACAAAAATTCTCTTGAGTGATTAGCCCTGCTGTGCCTGGTGAGATTTCTCCCCTGGCTGAATGACCAGTGGAAGTAACTCACAGATGCAGGCTGTCATAACAGTGCTCACCTTTAGTTTCCCCATCATCCCAGAAAAGTTCGCCTTTTGCTTCTTTGTTATCATCTAGGGCAATGATAAGACCAAGAGGGTTCCGGCGGCTGTGGGAAACAAGGTTTAGGAAGGAAACAAACACTTAAGACTCAAAGAACTTTGCCAAATGAGCTAGGAATGGTGCCATCAGATTTCTCTCCTTTTTTTTTTTTTTTTTTTTGCACCAACCAAAACCAGTTTAAGAGAGAAAGAGCACACAAGCGGGAGGGGCAGAGGGAGAGAGATTGGGAGAATGCCAAGCAGACTCCTTGCTGAACACTGGCCCCCAACACGGGGCTCAACCCCACAAACCTGAGGTCATGACCTGAGCCTAAACCAAGAGTTGGACGCTTAACCAACTACACCACCCAGGCGCCCCTGCCATCAGATTTCAAATGGGAAAGGTTACTAGCAGCAGATGGCTCGACTTTTCTCCAGGCACAAAAGCAAAATCAACAGGCTCATCTTTCTCTAGAATCAGTAACGTCACAGGAGACAGAAATACTGCAAACATTAGCAATAAACATCTACATAGGAAACAAGAATTTAAGTACCAGAATCATTGTAATTGCTACTATAAAAGTTGCTGAAGCAACTATTATTCAGAATACAGACAATTAGAAGAGAAAGACATTCTAGACAATAATTGGTTCAGCCTAATTTTAGAGTTTGTTCAGGGGAAGCCTTAACCATGGTTGGGGGGATATATTTTTTTTCCTGCCAAAGAAAGTGACTCCATTTTGACTCAGAAAGCAATAAAATACAATAAAGTCCATCTATTTAATGGCAACTTTTCTAATTTGATTATTTATTATTAGTTCATTTGGAGAGGAAAATAAAACACTATAGTTTTCTGCTTTATAACTTAAAATATGAAACACAAAACACAACTCAAAAAGGTGGTAAAGTAGATGGGCACAGAGAAAGAGAGAAAGAGCCATTTCACATGGAATCCCGCCTGGTGTCACTGCTCCCCGGACTCCCTCCTGGTTTCCTGCTCCCATTGGTCTGTCACTGACCTCACACTTTCTGCTCAGCCTTCCACTGTGCCCTATGCAAGGCAGGTTCCATTATCAATCAAATCACCTGCTTTCACTTAATACACATGTATTAAGTAGCTCTTGTTTGTTAACAAGTCTAAGAGATACAAAGATGAATAGATCACAACTCTATCGATGACCTTAAATATTATAAGAAGGATTAAACATATTCACTGCATAATCAAGGCAGAAAGTAGGGTGACACAAAAGTTGAAAGACTTATAGGAGTCCAGAATGGCACTTCCAGCAGTGTGGCTGACTAAATATTCTGGGGGACACCAGGCACCCTGAAAGACCCACCCAACACATGATCCTTAAATGTTGCTTAAGATGACCTCAAGTTGACAGCAGTCCTGATTTGCAACTGAAGAAAAAGGCAAATCCTCTCTGGAGGAATAAGACCCGTGTTTGGATCCTTAAGATCACTACATTTGAAAAACAAAAACATTACTATTTAAATACGCAAGGTAATAAGCCAGCATGAGAGAAAGTTGGCAAAAACAATGAACGATAATTTGGATTCTCCAAAGGATTTTAGATAATAGAATTTTCAGATACAAGGTATAAAGTAACTATGATTGAAATACTTAAAAATATTAAGAAGGAAAGAAAAAAAAATCAGCTAAGGCACAAAATAATATTTTAACAGTATACTAAAAAGTATTAAAAGAAAGTTTGGAGTGGCATTACTCCCTCTGCTGGAAGAACTGAGGAATCTTTCTTGCAGATGAAATTTTTAATTTGGAAAGTCATTAAGAATGTACCAGGCAAAGCATGTTGGAGAGGCTAATAAGTACAGAAGCCCAAATGCAGTCGAATAGATGGGTATGTCTGGGAACAGCAAGCTTTGGGGCATGGCTGGTCTTTAGGTGTGCATTCAGGTGTCTCAGGAGGCACAGTTTTTAACTTGCAACCAGACTGTGATTGGCCTGGAAACCATACGCATGAAAGAATTTGGACTTGGCGCAGGGGAGCAACAAGAAAAAAAAAATCTTCATTTTGGAAAGATAATTTTGGTATCAGTATGCAGAACAGCCTGAAGTTGAACCATTAGATACAAAGAAACCATTTGGTGTTAGATGAAGAAGTATTCTGCCTCGTTATCATAAAAAGTCTGTAATATGAAAAATTAAGGTAGTAAGGAAAGTTCAAAAGAAAAGAAAGATTTCTAACCTCCAAAGAACTCCCAGTCTATTAAAAACAAATAAGACTTTTAGCGACATATATAAATATATATGTCTTTAGTACAGATGGAGTCTAGAATTTCAGAATCAAAGAGTCATAAAGGAGAAATCAGTGATATGAGGGAGATTTGAAGTGAACAAGTAATTTTTGTACGCTGTTCTGCATCACAAGAAATAAATGGCTCACTGGGAGGAAAGGAATGGGAAATTGAGATTATAGGGTAATGGAAAGTGGACTCCCTCTCTCTAGAAATGAGAATGAATGAGTCAAGAGCATAGCACAATGGGTGGATGATCTGGCCAAGCAGGTAGGGTGATCAACAGACCCCGTTTACCTGGAACTAAGACGTTTCCCAAGACACGAAACTGTCGGTGCTAAAATTGAAACAGCCCTGGGAAAACGAGGAAGGATGAGGACCCCAGCAGCCAGTGTGTTTTGAGGAGAAATGCAGGAGATTTAAGGAAGGACAGGGATTAAGTTATTTAAAAATCCATCTTGTAAATCACAACTTCCTCAGAAGAGGCTGAGAGAAATACAAGGGACAGAGTTTGATGGACACGCACACCCCAGTCCCCTTCCTCCCCACACACCACGGAAAGCTTCAGCATCTTCTGCATGGGCAACAGATGGGAATGGAAATGACTAGCTTTGTCAGTAGCCTCCCCCTTGAAGGAAACTCCCGCCATACTCTACCTGGCCACTGTGGTGGTGGCTGGCTGTTGTGTGGGGAAGATGTGGCCTCCGCGAAGGTGAAGTCCAATTTTGTCTCCAGGAAGTTCCATCTCCACCCTTTGCTTCCTCCATCTCACTCGGGCCCCCTGATGCAGGCACACACGTCAAACACCTTGGCAGGATGACACATTCGCGCCCCCCTCTTACCCATGGGCTGAGTTATCTACAGCTATCCTTTTTCCACCCAGATGACTTAGTGTCTAGTCAGGCAATCAAATGAGAGGAAGGAAACAAATTAAGAACAGGTTCTGCCATTACTTGGGAGTTTGGGGGAGCGTTTACACCATGCCAAGGCTATCTGACATATATTAGATGAACTGATAGTTTTAAACAAGTTAGCTGACTCCTGACCAATATTTGGTCTCTCCATTGGACCCTCCAATATTTGCCCTTATCCTATGTTGAATAAAGTATATAAAAGTGTTTTTTTCAGATCTCTTCATGACTGACATGAAGTGACTTAGGCATACTTTATCAACTGTGCTATGAAATGACAGAAAACACCACAGAAACACTCCTTGGGATGTGGATAGATGTTCCTCTCTCCAGGGAGGCATCTTGTCTATGCAGCTGTGGTCTTGAGGAGTTTAAGAAAAGTCAAAGCTACTTACAGTCTCGTAATCGTACCAGATGGCATCGGGCATATACGCCATCACTTTCTCTGCACCCTGAAATTAAAACAAAATATCGTTCTTCATGGCCCAGCCTCTGAAGGGGATAAAATGGATTTCTTAGCATTCCCAAAGGAGCTTCTTAACCATATACTGAGAGAGCATAAGTGGCCTTTCTTTTCTCTGTCATCAAATTGTGACTTTCTTCTAATAGGAATAATAGAAGCAATAACTTGGCAACCCAAAGGGAAATGCCAGTGGAAGCACATTAGGATTAATAATAATCTTGAAATACATGTTGTGGTAAAAATTCCAGCTTTACATGAACTCCTGTAATCCTCCCAACTGCCCCCGGTGGCAGGTACTCTCATGATCTCACCTTTCCAGCTGAGGAACTCACCCCAGGCCACACAGTACTAAGAGGCAGAGACAGCAATCAGACCCTGATTCCATCCAACCTTAGACACACTGCCGGCCCCTTGCTCCATTCTGCCTCTATCTCAAGGAGCAAGAAGGATCTGCTAGGAGACTCTGATGATGAACAGGACCATTCCCAAACCCAGAACCACCAATAGTTGCTTCTACACTGATTGGGAACTTGGTCAAGAAAAAAAGACTCCTAAGTCACCCATCTCCAACTTCCCCAAACCTCAGCACACTGTCTTCAAGGCCATCTCAGCCATGGAGGCTGGACTCGGGCTTGGAATAAAGAGAAGATAAATGGTTCCAGGAAGAGAAGAGTTTGGAGGGTAGCAGGAACAGAAGCAGAGACCATCCGCGTGCCTCGGTGGGACACTTACCTCATCCAGAACCGGAGTGATGAGGAGGCCGGGGCCCCATAAAAACTGTCGGTGCACATCCCACGTACTGCTGTCCCCATAGAACCTGGAGATCAGAGACGTTCACTGCAATCTGGGTCAATGCTTCCTGACAACTCTCCCCTCAACTGCCCAAAACATGCAGACCACCTGCCTGTGGTAACCCCCCAAATTATTCTGGGACACCTACTCAAGCCCAGCAGATGGGTCCACTTTCCCCAACCCATGCACTCTCCTTTTCTTTCCCTGGTTGGACACAAGTGCCTATTCCAGGATATACGCTAGGCAGGGTCCAGATTGTAAGTCTGTTCACCATATGCCCCTTTAAATAAAATAAATAAAACAAGGAATACATCTTAAAACTTCAGCTGACTATCAAGAAGGAGCTGGATGCGATCATGACAAATAGCAGATAATTTAAAATTCTACTCTTTTCTCTTTTAGGGTATCTGCCTTTTAACAGGGAATTCCAGGAGATGGTAAAAATGGACTCAAAATAATGAATGTATAATAATAGTAATAATAATAATAATAACGATAATAGCAGATACGTGCCTGAGAGCCTAGAATGTCAGACACCTAAGGGGGTTCACTGCATTTTGACATGGAAAACCTCAAAAGTGGCCTTTTTCAGGGTTAAGTTGGAGATGCTCATTGGCTGGCAGTAAAAATTCTGGGACTCTAGAAATCCTCTGTAATATTCTTATTCGTCTGTAAATAACAGGTTCATCCTAGGGCTTGAACATAGTGCATTACAGAAGACACCATCCTGATCAAGCTATCAAATCCTTTAAACTAAGAATCAAGAAACAATGGATGAAAGAACTTAAATGATTTGTCTAAGACAGAAAGTTAGCTGGTGGCAGAACAAAGACCCCAAAGTCCCATGATTTTAGTCTTCTTCTATCCCCAAAAGAGAACAGGCTATACCACTTAAATATACCTCTAGAACAGTATGGAGGCAGCAGTGGCCTTGCAAATACCAACTGAGTATCCCAGTTAAAAAAACATATAGATATCTGAATAACCACTTGAAGTGTCTCAGTGTTCACTGTGATATTTGATGAAACAGTCCATGTCGCCAGTCACGTTAACAAAACCCTCTGGATGTGGTGAACTTACTCATGCAGAAGGGGCCTGGCCACTGTGTCCCCCCGGCTGTGGGCGCGGTAGAAGAGGGTGTAGAGGTAGGGTAATAGGGTGTAGCGGATGGTAAGGTAGTGCCTGGAGGAGTTCAACAGCAGAGAGTCAGCTCCAAAGGAGGCAGGATCCTGGGCCTGGGAGGAATAAGAGGTTGCCACTGTGATCCGGCTATGAATGACAGAAGCATCTGGAGAAATCCAGACCCCATTCATCAGAACCAAGAGTTTCCTTCCTCAAAGACCTGAGGCCTAGGGTATAAACTCAGCCTCTGAGCAATACAGGGGGCAGAGGGAGATCGCTTCACCAAGTAAATGTCATTCACCACCTGGCAACTCATACAGCCTCATTCACGCTAAGGACTGCTCTCTCAGGAGACTGCCGTTTCCATCATTTTGAAGTACTTCCTCATCTGATTCTCATTACAAAACGAGCAATGTAGACAGAGTGTACAGACGTTTGATGAAAACCTTCACAGACTCTCCATCTCCTTGACCGCAGCAGTACCAAGAGCAGACTCTGTGACAGCAGAGCATTTTAATGGCACGTCAGAGGACCCGGTTAATTGCAAATTAGCCTAAGTGAAGCGCCAGGTAGGAGGCTGGCTCGCTAGATGTCTTGGCGAGGATGCAGACGGATCCCGCTCTAATGTACGCCAAATTTGTTTTGATCATGTCTCCTGGGAGACTTACCTTGTAGCCTTGGCCATTGTGATTCCTGGAGAATGGATAAAATGCCCCCAGCTGCATCCACCGCCTACAGAGCTCCTCAGGGGCATCCAGTGCAAAGCCACATATGTCAGCACCCACCTGGAAGGACACACAGACAGAACGTATACCTCAATTCCATCCCGCCCCCTTTGCTTTCCATCAGGGACTTCCCAATTGCACTTCACCAAGTTTTACTGAGAAGGCTTATAGAGTGTGATCAGAATTGGGTCACATCACATGTTCACTCTTTTTTTTTTTGGGAGGGGCAGAGGGAGAGGGAGAGAGAATCTTAAGCAGGCTCCATGCCCAGCACACAACCTGACATGGGGCTCCATCTCACAAGCCCGAGATGATGACCTGAGCCGAAATCAAGAGTCAGATGCTTAACCAACTGAGCCATCTAGGCACCTCTCATGTCCACTCTTTACTGTCAGATGACTATGAGTAAGTTATTTTATCCTTCTGTGCCTCAGTTTCCTCATTTTGTTAAAGTGGGCATTAATTAGCTACACAGGGTTTTAGTAAATGACATAATGGAAGTAAAACACTTGACATACAATAGCTTTTGTTTTTTAAAGATTTACTGATTTATTTGAGTGAGACAGAGAGAGAGGTGGGGGGGGGGCGGGCAGAGGGAGAGGGAGAGAGGATCCCAAGCAGACTCCCTGCTGAGCATGGAGACTGATGTGGGGTTCCATCCCACTACCCAAAGACCATGACCTGAGCTGAAACTAGGAGTCAAACACCCAACCAACTGTGCCACCCAGGTGCCCCGACATACAACAGCTTTTTGATGGGTAGAACTAAAATTACTTCCAATATTATTTTGACCACCACTGACCAATCAGAATTAACTTTCCAAAGCCTAAATCTGATTCCATCAGTCATGTATTCAAACACCTCCAGGGTCTCCTCACAGCTTAGCTAGCAGCTCCTCAAAACCTGGTTCCAACCCACCTGTCCAGCATCACTTTCCACTCAAGTCCTACAAACCAATCCTTATAAACATATCAAATTCTCCCCCTTACTGCTTTTCCTGTTTATTTCTCAATCTTAAAATGACTTCTCCATTGGTCTGATAAAATAAGTCCACTTTCCAAGGGTAAACTCAAGTGCAACCTATTCCGTGAAGTTTCTCCTGGCTCCTTGCCCTGACTCCCTGTGTTCCTTGTAATCTTGTCAGAATTAAAAAGTCTCTTTCTCAGGATTTCCCTCAACATTTAATTTGTATATCCCCACTTGTCATAATTATTTGTTTATATATTTCATATATAAGGGGACAGAGAAGGTGTTTTTGTACTATATTTATGCTTTTCTCTACCCTCATCATGCATACCTAGCTTAGTACCTCGCACATAGTAACAGCTCCATAAATATATACGCTGAATTTAACTAAAAGATGTCAAACCCACCTCTAGGAACCTGGCAATGTTATGTTTTCTCATGTGGGTGCTGGATACTTAGATGTGTTCAGCTCGTAAAATTCATCAACTATATGCTTAAGTATATGTGTACTTTTTTGTGTGTATGTTATACTTTAATAGAAAAAAAATAGTCCAATGATAGCACTTCCAGGTTCCACTTTCTATCTTGATAAGTCAGCACAGAAAAGAATGTTGTATCAGAGCTATACTGATGTAGATGAAGGCACTGTTCTCAAGACATTAAATCCCTGGGCCAGAAAGGGTAGGAGAGGTGAGCTTCATGCTCTGAGAATTTTCTAGAATGAGGCTTTCTGGGGATTGAGGTAGGGATGTGGACTCACCATTGGGATACCAAAAAGGTTGAATTCCAGCACACCAGGGATAGACCACCGAAGATCATTCCAGGTGGCTGCGTTGTCTCCTAACCAGTGGGCTGCAAACTTGCCAGATCCCGCAAAGGTAGAACGGGTTATAATGAAGCTTCTCTTATTAGGGGACACAGTCTTGACAGCTCTAGAAAGGGAGAGAAACTTAAGGAGTCAATGTGTGATCTCAGCCCCCCAGATACAGTGACAATGCCAAGGATCATTGTCTTTTAACTCCCTCCTAGGAGGGTTAGAGCTGCTGTGGAAGCAGATTGCATCATTAAATATGTTTCCATTTTATTTTGTTTTGTTTTAAGGTGTTTTATGTACATCATGAAATCCATAATTTCCAAAATTTTTAAAAGCAGCCTTGAAAAGGCTAGTAACTAGAGGTATACAATTTTTATGGAATGAAGGTGAAATTTAATTTTACATAGATGTATATACATTGATCTTTCACATTGCATGATTTTAAACATACACAAAAAGTGAATTTATGAACAGCCTTTTGGAGCTTAAAATCTCTTTGAGTAGTCATTTTAAATTTATAGATACATGTGTGTACTTTTATAAGTAACTATAAATATATATCATCTATATTTTTTAAAAGATTTATTCATTTATTTTGAGAGAGAGAGAGAGAACTAGTGGGAGGGGTAGAGGGAGAGAGAATCCCAAGCAGACTCTGCACTGAGTGCAGAGCCCAATGCAGGGCTCAATCTCACGACCCTGAGGTCATGACCTGAGTTGAAACCAAGAGTCAGATGCTTAACCGACTGTGCCACCCAGGCGCCCCATCTATATTTTTAAAATTATAAGTCTATATGTCTATTTTAAAACTTTTGCTCTGTAATTTTTAAAACAACTTTTAAGAAGGCTAAACTCACACCATGACTTTGCTAATGAATGAATGTGGTTTTGGTCTGGCTTCCTGCCATCACTGCTACCGTAAGTACAGTAAATTCTCAGTATGTTTTCCTCACTGTAGAATTTGAGTCTATACACAAGGGTAGACACAGCACAGTAGAAGGATGCTGAGCCAGTATCCAAAACCCTGAGGCACATGAAGTCTATAAGTTACTTTACCCTCCATACTCCATACAGTGTGGCAGAGAGGAAAATACATGGGTTTCGGACTCATGCAAAAATGGTTTAAAATTTGTTTTTACAATGTATTAGCTGTTTGCCCTTGGTCAAGTTACTTCTCTTTATTTCTTCTAGCCTTCCATTTATTCATGTATTCATCCATTCTTTCATTTTATACATTCCACAAATATTTACCGGATTCCTTCTTCCCTATGTGCCGGGTAGTTTCTTCATTCATTCAGTAATAAGAAACCTATTTATCTTGCAGAGTTCTTAAAAATAACACACTGGCACCTGGCATCTAACAAAGATCAATAATCTGGTCATGTATGAAGTCCACAGCAACAGTGGTCTTACTCTGCCGTGGCCATTGTCATGGAGTAGCCATAGAGATTGTGGACGTCATACTGCCTGCCCCAGTGCTGGACTGCGTCCATGCAGAGACTCTTGGAGAACAGGTACCCATCCAGGATTCCTGGGGCAAAGGAGGGAATCGGTCAATGAGAGCCTCAGATGCACATTCCCTGCTCCTGTCCTAGCCTATGGCGGAACCGGAAATGGTAGCACTCTAGGCAGGGTTTCTTGTGGCCATCCTGGAAATGATCACACAGCTTCCTCACTATCAGAGGGTTTTATGTTGGGAGTAGTTTCTCTGATATATAAATAAACTGTGTTGCTCCATACACACTCTTTCACCCCAGGTGCTCATGTGGCTTAAGGTAGGCACTTGGAAACCAGAGGATCCAGTTAGACTTGACGTTTAATCTGAATTCTGCAAACTTAGCCAAATCATGTGGTCCGAGAATAGAAATAGTGGATGAAAGTGTAAATTAATTGTTTGCCCCTTTTTTCCACTGACCAGAGAGTAAAAAGCCTGCTTCCCCAATCTGTCTCGTGCTACTATTCTTTTCTGCTCCCATCGTACCATTCTGACTCCAATCCAAATTACCTTTGCATCTTAGCTACTGCGATAGTTTCTTAATGGCTTATTTACTTATGATCTATTGATCTCCGAATTCATACTGCACACTAACACCAGATTAATATTTCCAAAACCATTCGACTATCCTGGTTCCCTTACATTAAAACATAAATAGCTTCCATCACCAAAAGAATAAAGTATTAACTTTCGCCCCCCCCATGCAAATCACTGGCCCATCTGCCCCAATTTACTATTTTCTCACCAGAATGGAAGTCTTCATTAGATGCTATAATGTTAGCACCTTGTTCTTTCCTTAATCAAGATAAAATGTATCTGTGAGCCTCTAGCTTTCTTCAAACTACAATAAATGCTGTGAGTCCAGGGCCATACCCTGAGAGATGGTGTTGTTCAAAGTTCAATTGGAGCTCACTAGCATCATATTCACAGACTCTGACTTTAACCTTCAAGGCCATGGGTTCTGGGTTCTGGCTTCTTTTCATCCTACGTTTCCTGTCTGTTCTTCACATTCTTGATATCACTAGACTTCACCGTCATCCGAAGACCAAGCCCAGTTATATGGTCTCTCTCTGGTAAGCCCTGACCTCGGGGGATACACGCTAGGGAGTAATACAAACTAACCACTAGCCTCTGGCCTCTGCACTGAATGTTCTCTGGACCTTCTCCTGGAAATAGTTAAATGTCTGTAGAAAGACGAGTGACCCCGTTTGAATTTATGCCTCATTTAGGAAAGCTTGGAGTGCTTTGATTTTCTTTCCTAATCTTCTGTATATATTACCCACATTTTCCTCTCCCTACGTACATTTATACACAAACTCCCTTGCCCGGTAGTTCATATCTATCCTTATGAATGTAAAATACCAAATATGCATTGCTACTTTAATTATCCACCACCAAGACTTACTAGGAGTGAATGGGGGATAATTTAGATTGCTCGTGGAACATCCTGAAACGGAACCATCAACGAAGTTGGAGATTTCATTCATATCCTATAAGACAAAGGGCAAAACTACTATGAAGGAAAAGAAATATGCCCCCTTATGTTGTACTGATGTTTGTCTCCTTTTTTGTTTTTTTAAGGAATCAGAGAAATGATTCCAGATATTTCTTCTTTAAAGAGGTTATTATGCACATGGAGGGAAATAGATGTTCCTGTCTTCTCTACCCATTGAAGGTTCCACAGAGAAGGTTCTTAAAATCCCTTCAAAATGCTGTATGTTTATAACCATGGGAAATAAAAAATTTTCAAAAACATTAGGTGAAAAAAGATCTCAATTTATATGATTCCATATATATCAACTTATACATCCTCTATATATCCAAATATAGCTATGAATGCACATATATATCTATCTAGATACATACATACACACGTACATACATACATACATACAAATAAACACACAGAGAGAGCGAGGGCGTGAGCCCATGCCAACAGCTGGGCAGGTGAGGGTTCTAGGAAGATATGTACCAAAATGTTGATGGGGTAGATGTCTTTGGCTGATAACATTTTAGAGGATTTTGCTTTCATCTTTTTAGCTCTCTGTATTGTTTGGATTTTCTACATTTCTCTTAAAAATAGAAAAAAGTTCAACTCTAGAGCTCCCTAAATTTTGCTGAACATCTGCTGCTTTGCATTTGTTTTCATTTGATATCATATGTGACATTTGTCCTTACCACCCCCATAGTTTTGTCATGCACCTGGGGACTTTGGTTCTGATCAATTTGTCCACCATGTCCAAAGGAAAGAACCCTGAACTGGTGATTGAAAAACCGTGTACTTTGTGGCAATGTAAAGCATATATGACCGATTTTTACTTTGTTCAGCTTATTCATTTTTAAAAGAAGAGCTGGATTCAGAAAAAAAAAAATTTTTTCTTATTTTATTTCCAGACCTAATGATCTGATTTAGATTCCAAGCTACGTGTTTCAATAAGATTATTTAACTAGTAAGATAGGGAATATCAGAATTACTGCCCTATGTGCTTTCTTCTCCTCCTCTTTCCACCATGTTCCTTGACTCAATGATATATACACAGTCTGAATATTAGTCACCAAATATTCAGAGTATTAAGAACTCACAATCCAGATTCCATCAAACTCTACTTGGTTGTGGAAAAGCTCAAATTCCTTTGCCCACCAAACAGCACAATCAGGGTTGGTATAATCAGGAAACACAGTTTTTCCAGGCCAGACCTGCAGGAGAAAAAGAAAAACATTGATCAGAGTCAATTAAATGAATATAGAGCTAGATGGCTGGTGGTCTGGGGATGAGGGGACAGGGGCAAGTGTATCCCCAGCATGTATAAGGCATCTCAAAGTGTCAAGACCACTACACACACGCAAACACACACACACACACACACACTCTGCCACAGCCCCGCCACCAGCCCCCAGGTCCCCCATTCAGTTACCTCCCCAATGAGTGGAGTCACCCCATCTGAAGCATTCACCCATATCTTCATGCCCGAACCCCTGTCATACGGGCCGTAGGGATTGCTGGGCGAAGAGTTGTTGGAGATGGCTGGATCCTAAGAAGAGGAAAAATACAGTGAAGCACCCAGCTTCAAGCTCGAGGCACAGAAAGGAGACTGGGAATTGGGGGGTGAAGGAGAGGGAGGTGGCTATAAAGACAAGGAAGAGCAAGCACCCGATGATCGGGGGGGTGGGGGAGGAGGATGGCACGTACCACAATGATGACCAATTTCTGACTGTTATTGTGTAACTCCTTAACAAACTCAGGGAAACCTTTAAAATTGACTGGATCATAAGTGAAGTCCTTCCTCTCATCCATATAATCAATATCGGCATGCTGAACATCCTGAAAGCATACACAAACTCTACAATTTAGGGCTCCAGAATTTCCCTGTTCAAAAGACTCAGTCAAATCATCACTATTATTATCCACCATACACACTGGCTCTGTGCCGGGCTTGAAATGGAGTTCTTGATCAGTCTCTGGCATCTAAGTGCTCCTTTGTCAATAGTAATTTCAAAAACAGAGGACCAATTGTGTCCCTAAGGCCTGACCCCCACCCCTGGAATCAGGTTAACTACATCACCCGGCCTTGTCACCTGGCCCCCTCTGGCACTCAAAACCAATCTAACAAACAAACCACGACAATCAAAACAAATCACTAAGGCTATCAAAAACATATCTGTACCTAGATCCTACCCCATCCACAAACTGAAAGGGATAAGAGACTGTCCCACGTCTCCCTCATTTTACTGCCCCACATTTTGTTTTGTTGCTTCTCTTCTCTTTTTTTTTTAATTTTTCACTTTTTTATTTTATTATGTTATGTTAATCACCATACATTATGTCGTTAATTTGGGTTTTTTTTTATTATGTTATGTTAATTGCCATATAGTACATCATTAGTTTTTGATGTAGTGTTCCATGATTCATTGTTTGCATATAACACCCAGTGCTCCATTCAGTACGTGCCCTCTTTAATAC